CGAGGCCCTAGATATGTTTTTAAAATAAACCAGATATCTATTTAACTTTTAAAATAAGATACCTTATAACTTGAATAGACGGATGTATATCGAATAAACTAAATAAGATATCTTAATAAACTGTTTTGAGTAAGATATCTTGTTAAAAGAATAAGAATATTTATTGTTCTAATTAAGGACATTAAGGGGTTTTGATTGGCAGTATGGCAATTACATACACAACAAAATACACTATGATTTTGTAAAAAAAAAATTACACAAGATATAAGCAGAGGTATCTGATGTTCAGTAGTTGTCGTTTGTTGATGTGGATCATAAGTATTTCTCGTTTCTCGTTTTTTATATAGATTAGACCGTTGGTTTTCCCGTTTGAATGGTTTTACACTACTAATTTTTTGGGGCCCTTTATAGCTTGCTGTTCGGTGTGAGCCAAGGCTCCGTGTTGAAGACCGTACTTTGACCTATAATGGTTTACTTTTATAAATTTTGACTTGTGAGAGAGTTGTCTCATTGGCACTCATACCACATCTTCTTATATCTATATAGTACATAACAATATGTAGTATAATAGAGTATATCTGAGACTACTATAACACATTATAGTATATAATATATAGTCTTAGAGTATATCATGGTGACTTGTCTCTGATATAAGATATTTCAATTAGTTAATAAGATATATCTTGAAAATGGAATAGATATCAACATGTTTTTTTTATATTACAGCAGAGACGTATTATATGTCTCTGATTCCAGTGTTAGTCTTTTAAAAAAAATGACAATATACAGAGTCATTGGCACTCAGTACCACATCTTCTTATATCTACATATATATGTCTCTGCAATATATAACGTGAGGGTACCCAAATTGCACCTATTTCGACAGTTTTTCCACCTACGTTTTTTATGATCCAAACAAAAGTTTCCATTCTGTGTTTATTTTGTAGATGTATCTTTATTTAATAATCCATTTTGAATCATAGAAAAAAGGGTGTGAACCGACCTCCAAACGATCCGTGATTCTGTAATGAGGAGTACCCAAATTGCACCCATGCTTAAATTCACATCCTTAAAAATTGAATAACAGATGTTTTGTCTTATTTCTTCAAATATTTAGAACAATTTGACAGTAGTCCATGCTAACTATTCATTTTTTAAGAAATGGATGCTTGTAACATATTCTATTTGCTCATTTTTAAAAGAGGACTTTTTGTGGACGTCGCATGGCGACGTTCCTTAGATTTTACTTTTTCCAGTGAATACACCATCTGTTGATATATACTGTGAACGTTTTGTGTATGTTTAAATATATCTACCTATGTTAAAAGATGTGAATAATGTCAAATCATAAAAAATACAAAGTGTTTAGTCTCAAAGAAAACTTGTAAGATTTCCGCTGCTATTTTTGCTAAATAGGTGCAGTTTGTGTACTCGGTGCAATTTGGGTACTGTGACGTTATGTCTCTGATTGCAACAAACTGTCGACGATATTACTATAATAATAATAAATTCTTTATTTAAAGAGGGTAACTCAATTAGAAGTAGTCTAATTTTCATTGAGGCCCTCAAACAAAATACATGTATACAGTTAACATTCATACATTCATACATTAAAATACAATATATATTACTGGTATATACACAATTCAATCATTCAAACATACAAATGGCAATGAATGGCAATAAATAGTAAAGTTTTGATTAAATTTTCTTATTGTTACAATAAAAGAAAGAAAACAAATTATTCGACATGCATAGAATTTTCAAGAAAATGATTATAACAATGTTTCTTAGATAATTCCACATTTCGACAATTTTTTATTTTGAGTGGTAAATTATTCCATACCTTTGTTGCAGAATAATGAAAAGATTTTTTATAAAAATTTGTATTTGGTCTTGGAATCAATAGATCATTATTAGAGACAGATCGTAAGTTGTGGTGTTGCACATCATTAATATTTAGCATTGTTAAGTAATCAGGTGTTAGTCCATTTACAATTTTATACATTAGAATTGATTGTTGGTATTTTATTATTTTTGTAAAAGATAGCCATTTTAAAGATGAAAACAGAAAATTAGACGGAACAGAAATATCGCATTCAAGTATAATTCTTGCTACTCTTTTTTGAAGTTTTATGATTCTATCTGAATCTTTTTGTAATAAATTTCCCCAAACTGAACTACAATAGTCTATATATGGTAGAATATATGCATTATAAAATAGTTGTCTTGTGTGTATAGGCAAATATACTAATTATTTTCATTTACCTGTGTATAATATGACGCAGGTTTCTTCAAAAGTGATGATTTTCTATAAATTGTTTGAAATTTCACAGTGATATCATACTTTAACTTTGTTTAAACCTGTTTATTTACTTTTGACTTTAATTATTTATCCCTTGTAATTTTTTATTAACTGTGTATTTGCATTCAGGTGTCATAGGTCAAATTTATTCGTTCATTGTGTGTTAACTTACGTTTTTTGATTGAGTTAAGCCTTCCAATTGATATTTTATAGTGTGTTTTTCTATGTTGTGGTGTTATACTATTGTTTCAGAAAAGGGAAAAGGTTTGGTACCATTAAAACGTTTAATCCCGCTGCAAATGTTTGCACCTGTCCTAAGTCAGGAATCTGATTACAGTAGTTGTCGTCTGTTTATGTAGTTCATACGTGTTCCTCGTTTCTCGTTTTTATATAGATTAGACCGTTGATTTTTCCGTTTGAATGGTTTTACACTAGTAATTTTTTGGGGCCCTTTATAGCTTGCTGTTCGGTGTGAGCCAATGCTCCGTGTTGAAGGCCGTACCTTGACCTATAATGGTTTACTTTTATAAATTGTAACTTGGATGGAGAGTTGTGTCATTGGCACTCATACCACATCTTCCTATATCTATTTAATTTTAAACAAAAGTGATATTTTAGATGAGATAATCTTGCATATACGATCAACATGATCCTCCCAGTTTAAAATTTCATCAATGTCAATTTCAAGTAATTTGAAAGAATGGACATTTTCAATACATGTTTTATTGACGGTAATACACAATTCTGATAGTTGTGTAAGTTTTTGTTTTGAACCCAATTTCATACACTTTGTTTTTTGTACATTAAATTTCATACTGTTATTGGTACACCAAGATTGTATAGCATTTAAATCATTTTGCAATATGCTGTTTATTTTTTCAATGTTTTATTATGAAAATGCAATGTTGAATCATCAGCATATAAATCCATGTCGGATTGTTTAACATGAAGTGGTAAATCATTTATATAAATTGAAAATAACAGAGGACCTAAAATAGAACCTTTAGGCACTCCATATTTTACAAACGATTTATCAGATTTTATGTTAGCGTATTGAACTTCTTGTTGTCTCTCAGACAAATATGATATTATCCAATCTATCGTTTGTTCTCCGATATGATAAAATTTTAACTTTTCTAAAAGTATGGCATGGTTAATAAGGTCAAAAGCCTTACTGAAATCTAAAAACACAGTACCAACTATTTCTCCATTGTCTAAATATTTTAACCATTCATCAATTAGTTTAGTCAGCGCTGTTTGACATGAATGACTTTAATTTTGCCTGAAACCTGACTGGGCGATATGTAACAATTTTTTACTATTTAAGAATGCATATAACTGTGTACATACATGTCTCTCAAAAATTTTAGATATGATATTTAAAATAGAAATTGGACAATAATTGGAGGGAATATCTGTTGGTCCTCCTTTATGTATAGCAGTTACTCTTGCAAGTTTTAATTTTTGCGGAAAACGATTCGACGTTATACTTTTGTTTATTAGAAAAGTTAGTGATGGCGATATTATCTCTGCACTTAGCTTTAAAAGTTTTGGACCAATTCCATCTAAACCTGCGGATTTATTAATATCAGAGACATATAATACAATTGTATTATATGTCTCTGTTAATATTAAGGTGTTTTAGTTGTGAACACACCTCTCCAACAGAAATGAGTTTTAATTTAAAAATTTCAGTTTCCTTTAATTTTGTACTAGTAAAAGTTTGTAGCTTAGAAAAATCCATATCCGAAGTATTATTTCCAATAAGTTTTTCAGCTACGGAAGAAAAATGAACATTTAGTGTATTAACAATATCTTTGGGGTTATAAACAGTTTGATTTTCATACTGCATTTTAGGTGGAAAAAATATTATCCATTTTTGGATTTAACTCTTTAATGTGATTCCTAAGTTCTTAACTATTTTAGGAACTAGATATAGCGTTTTGATAATATTCCTTTTTTGCATTAAATATTAACGACGTTGTTTTATTACGCCACTTTTTAAAGTTTACCCAATCTTTTTTTGAATGATACATATTTCTGTATTGAATGGAATTTTTAATTTCTTCATTGAACCATTCGGCTTGTTTAAATGTTTTTACTCTTTTAGTTTTCATTGGTGCGTGCTTGTTAATAACTTGATTAAAAAGTTCATACAATTTGTCGACAGAAACGGTGTTTCATCGGCCAACACCGTTGAGGGATTCAGAGCTGCCGTTAAGGCATGCTCTGAAAGGAAGAGGAAAACACCAGTTGTACATAATTTTAATTGTATAATATTGCGAACGTTTTAAATGTAATTTGTAAATAGCCTAGAGAGAACTTTCTGTGTTGCCCGACACTGCGTAAAGTTTTCGCGCGGAACCAATAACATTCAGTTTTGAATCCGGTTCCTTACCTGGAAGAAGAAGAAATATCAATATCTTCTTCCATTTCAACAATATGAAAAGGGGTTTGATGTAAGTCTGCACAAAAGGCATCTTCATTAAAGTTTTTGAAACACCTATACTTTATTTCGATATGATTTTCTTTCTTTACCTTTATATTGATTTCGTATTGCGGTCGTCAAGAGCAGATGACCTAAATGCTTTTTTAAAAGAAATGATACCGCTGAAGCCTATTTCAATTTTCGCGCACTTGAAAGTATAAATTTGCACATGATAGAAATCTAAAAATAGGATTTTCCATGTGATAAAAATTTACCAATCACTAAGCTTGTTGTGTGTCGAAGCAAAATCCATACATCATTAAAATCTAACCCGGGGACACGAGTTTTCTCGAAATGCCGGGGAATAAGCCCAAAAAAGAGAAGGTAAGTATCATTGAGCGATTCATAGTGCATATAATATCCTTCTACATACGTCTTTTTTCACTTTTCTCTGTAGAAATAAAAATATTTGCGTCTCGGTTCGTTTTCGAGAAAACAAACCATTGTTTATGTGTTTTGTTTACACTTTGTAATCTTTTCTCGTTTCAGACAGTCACGAAAACTACGCCTGGCTCCAAAGCTAGTGCAAAAGAAAATTCTGAAAATGCTGAAAATGAGGTGAGAATCATGTTTTACGTCAGTGTTGTCGGAGTCAATGCCAAGAATGGCCGCCATATTGACATGGAAATTCAACATGGCGACTGTAAATAATGACATTATTGTTTCTTCCTGTCCTTCATTAAACATACATGCCTCCCACATAGTTAAAACATCATCCTATAATATGTTACATATAAGAAAAAAATCTACATATTTCATTTTCAGAACAAGAAAAAGCCGGCAAAGATTCAACTTCCAGAACATCCACCACCAGCACAGATCAACAAACTGAATTTCACTGGACCACCAACCATAAAGAAAGACAAAAGACAAAACTCATCAAGATTTAATGTCACAAAAAACAGAGAATTGCAAAAACTACCATTGCTGAAAGGTATATAAAATATCAACTATAGGCTTTGGCAAATCAGTTGTGTTCACAGACCTTATCGCTATTTGGGAATCTGTGACACTTGAGGTGAGAAAATATGGCGCCTAAACTATTGATGTCATCCAAAAGATCTCTTATTTTGTGTCGTTTGTAATTTCTTTTGTGACGTCAACATTTATGGGAATAACTGTGATGTCCAGTAATGGCAGACAAATAGTAATATAAATGTCTATTGTTGAACGCTGGTGGCATTTATTGGACCACCAAACACCCAATATTTCAGGAATCTCAAAAAGACTTGAAGAATCCTCTTCCTTTCTCATAGATATTGATGAGAATAGGCAAAACTACTGCATTCAGACACTTTAATGGCCTGACAGAAGTTGTTGTCAGCTTCAAAATTTGTGTGTGATCAATGATCAATTCAGTCATGATATACATGTATTTTCAGAAAATAATAAGCTGTTAAAACAACTGATATTTTCGTGAAAATATTTCGAAGAATACCTGTGTTTTCAGTTGCTGAACCAACCGTTATTTATAGGGTCTGGCCCTGATTTTAATAAAAAAAAAAAAAAAAAATTGGTAATATTTTGGTGTGGTAGGAAAAATGCTCTTCCTTCAGCATATCCCAAAATCATCTGGGTCTAATTTGCACTTTTTTTAAAAAGCATTTTTGCGACCAGGAATGATAAACAAATTTCCATAACAAGTATTCCCGCGGTTTCTGTGGATGAAATGAAACTACAGGTATATACTTAATATTTTAACATTCATGACAGTTTCACACATTTGAACAATGATTCTAAAAACTTCTTGATTAGATCAATTGAAATTTAAAAGAAACCACCTTCCAACCCTAATTTTTTTGGAGGGTTGCAACCAGAAACACACCTATTTTACCTGAGTCAACTATATATAACAGTAGCTAGGCGGAAGAAGGTCTAGTAACTGCTCAACTCTCTCTGTCCGAAAAAAAACTGTTATCAAAGTTTACATGGCTTCTTTGAGAGGGAATGATTACATATTTGATCTGCAGCCTTATAATGTTGAATTGCAGCGAGAAAGCATTTTTTTACAACATTTATTGTACAAGGAAAATTTTCATCAGCTCCTGTTGAAGGGTATGATTTAATATTTGGTCTGATGCTTCATAATGTTGATTTGTAGCGAGTAAGCAAATTTAACATCTGCCATGCATGTACATGTAGCCACTTCTGTTTGTTGATATTTTAAAATTTGACAACACATTGTACAAGGAAGATTTACGTCGAAAGTTTTCTTGGCTTCTATGAAATGGAATGATTTAATATTTGGTCTGCAGCTTGATAATGTCGTTGTAGTGAGTAAGCAATTTTAATATCTGCCTTGAAGCCACTTCCTGTTTGCCTACAGTTTGACCATTTACACCACTCATGTACAAGGAAAATTTTTGTCAAAGTTTTTTTGGCATCAGTGAAAGGGAATGATCAGTTATGCTTCAGTAATGACTGTTTACATATTCCCTCAATTAATTGCAAACAGGGATGTAGGTCCTGTATTGGACTTGTTTCTTTTGGCTGAATACAATGTTGGTTGTATTAAAATAAAATGAAAAAAAAACCCTATTTATATACATTTGTACCTTGTATGCATTAGAAATGTTACTTTTTATTCATTATATTAAGTACTTAAGGCTGATGGGGGTTGGGGCCGTAAATTAAAATCCATAGAATTTTTAAATAGTTTGCCAAAAAGTAGCTTACATGTATATCATGCCTTTTTAAAAAACATGATAAAACGTTTCATATAGGTCACAGGGCTTCTTTTCAAGCTACAGACTACAGGTTGTGCAAAATTGTCAGATTATGCATAGAAACTCCTATTTTGTGTGATAAAAAGAAAACTAAACCATAGAATATATAAAATATGATAAGATAGCTCTTACAATGTTCTTTCAGAAAATAAAAATAAAAATTGGGGTCACAGGACTCGTTTTCTTGCTTCAAAACAAAATAGGTAAATTCATAACACATTCCTACACAAAAGTAACTTTAACTGAGTTATATCCCCTTTCGAAAAAACTGAATCAAACAAAAAAATATTCTGTATTTGTAAGAAACAGTGGTAAAAATATTATAAAACACATTATTTTCTTCATTTAGTTGAAATGTTTTACAAATGAATTACATTTTATCTCCAAATTTGTCTAATTATGGTAGCAGAGGGGGCATTAAGTTTTACCCTTGTCCGTTTGTACGTCCATTTGTCCCGAAATTGGTTTCCGTTCTCTAACTTTAGTTTGCCTCTACTAAATGTTATGAAACTTATACACAATGCTTATTACCACAAAACACAGATCAAGTTTGAATTTTGGTAGCGTCACTATTACTGTTCTGGAGTTATGCCCCTTTACAAATGGAAAAATTGCTGAATTTTTAGTTTTTGTTCTCTACCTTAAGTTTGTCTCAACCAAATGTTATGAAACTTATTCACAATGCTTTTTACCACAAAACTCAGATCAAATACGAATTTGGGTAGCATCACTTTTACCGTCCTTTATAATGTTATATGCAAGCGGGGGCATCATCTGTGTCCCATGGACACATTCCCCATTTATTCATTAAAGATCTAGACTGATTGTTTCCTGTTATTTTACAAACCAAGATGGCGAAAGACACCCGATCTACCTTAATGAAAATTATAATGCTTGCAGTGTTCTCCCCAGATATTTCATATAGCATCCTGGTAAACAGGGAAATTTGAAATACATGTACCATCTTGTTTCTTAAAATTATAGCATCACATCCATAAAACAATCTATAACATGTATAAGAAATTTAAACTCATTTCAGATAGCATCATATTCAAGAAAAATAGCATCACATTACCATGATGCTAAAAGGCCCTGGGGAGAACACTGGCTTGTATTAATTAAAGAAAAGCATTTGTAAATTATATGATTTCTGAGATGGTCATATCAGAAAATTTCTTTACCATGTTCACACCAAAATTATCTCCCCTCACGGATAGATCAACTTCCTGGTTACTTGACCCTTTGTTAGATATTTATTTTAAGTAGTTATTGGTCCCCTACCGACGAAATCGAAGGGACTTTAGGTTTGCACTCCGTCTGTCAGTCCGGCAAATCAGTTTTCCACACTTTTTTTCGTCATGCTTGAAGATATTGATTTGATAATTAAGTCTCCCAAACGAAGTTTGGGAAGACTTATTGTTTTTGCTCAGTTCTTATTATTATTATTATTCTTCTTCTTCTTCTTCTTCTTCTTCTTCTTCTTCCGCCGCTTTTAAATTTGAACTTGTCCGCACCCGTTCTCCAAAACCGCTTGTCAGATTAACTTAAGGTTTCACAATATGTTAGACTAACATGTCTAGTGGTGCAATCAGGGTTTTGTTTGTGCAATGGGGTTTATAAAGGGGTACTTTGAGGGGCAAAAAGAAAAGAGGGTTTTACTATAGAACCCTATGGGATTTTATTTTTTTAAATTTTCATATGATTATAAATTGAAAACCGTTTGTGATAGACACAATCTTTTTAATTGAAAATGTTCTAAATGATAAAGCCCATTAAATGAAATACAGGGTTAGTCCCCAGGGGTCACCCCCACCCCCTGCCATTTAAGAAAGTTCGAATACCTTGTAAGTGGTCAAGATCCCCACCCTAAACCATATATATTTTGGTTTGTTATGCTAAGATGGTTTGAATGATATACAGGGTTAGTCCCCAGGGGTCACCCCGACCCCCTGCCATTTGAGAAAGTTCTAATATCTTGTAAATGGTCGAGATCCCCACCCCTAAACCATATATATTCTGGTTTGTCATGACAGAGCACATCAAATGAAATACAGGGTTAGTCCCCAGGGGTCACCCCCACCCCCTGCCATTTAAGAAAGTTCTAATATCTAAGTGGTCAAGATCCCCACCCCTAAACCATATATATTCTGGTTTGTCATGCTAAGATGGTTTGAATGATATACAGGGTTAGTCCCCAGGGGTTATCCCGACCCCCTGCCATTTGAGAAAGTTCTAATATCTTGTAAATGGTCGAGATCCCCACCCCTAAACCATATATATTCTGGTTTGTCATGATAAAGCACATCATATGAAATACAGGGTTAGTCCCCAGGGGTCACCCCCACCCCCTGCCATTAAGAAAGTTCTAATATCTTGTAAGTGGTCAAGATCCCCACCCCTAAACCATATATATTCTGGTTTGTCATGCTAAGATGGTTTGAATGATATACAGGGTTAGTCCCCAGGGGTCATCCCGACCCCCTGCCATTTGAGAAAGTTCTAATATCTTTTAAATGGTCGAGATCCCCACCCCTAAACCATATATATTCTGGTTTGTCATGATACAGCACATCATATGAAATACAGGGTTAGTCCCCAGGGGTCACCCCGACCCCCTGCCATTTAAGAAAGTTCTAATATCTTGTAAGTGGTCAAGATCCCCACCCCTAAACCATATATATTCTGGTTTGTCATGATAAAGCACTTCAAATGAAATACAGGGTTAGTCCCCAGGGGTCACCCCCACCCCCTACCATTTAAGAAAGTTCTAATATCTTCTAAGTGGTCAAGATCCCAACCCCTAAACCATATATATTCTGGTTTGTCATGCTAAGATGGTTTGAATGATATACAGGGTTAGTCCCCAGGGGTCATCCCGACCCCCTGCCATTTGAGAAAGTTCTAATATCTTGTAAATGGTCGAGATCCCCACCCCTAAACCATATATATTCTGGTTTGTCATGATAAAGCACATCAAATGAAATACAGGGTTTGTTCCCAGGGGTCACCCCCACCCCCTGCCATTTGAGAAAGTTCTAATATGTTGTAAGTGGTCAAGATCCCCACCCCTAAACCATATATATTCCTATTTGTCATGTCTCGAACATTTGAATGACGTATACGGTCAGTCCCCAGGGGTCCCCCCCCCCCCCCCCCCCCCCCCCCCCCCACCCCCAATGTTCTAATATCTTGTAAATGGTTGAGATCC